GGGGGGGGGGGGGGGGGGGGGGAATCTGAGAAGAAGGTCCTACATCAACTGAATGGGCAATGAAGGGAGAGAGAGACGAAAGGAAAAGCTATATTGCCATGGAAGCATGGAAACGACGACGTAATGCTATGGAGAGCGCAACATACGACGACGTCTTTCGGTGTTTACGTGGTTAGCAGGCAGCGGCCAGGGAAAATTACTTGATGAGGCAGAAATGGGAAAGTAAGATGGTGAGGGATATGATAGATTTGTCGATTCAGATATTTATAGACAGTATTGTCCTTTAGTATTATCTGCAGGACCTTATCGCACGTACTTTGAAGCCCAAGGTAAGATCCCATAAGCTCTTGATATTGATAAGTAAATTTAAACTACCCTCGTTATAAAAACTAATGTTCAAGTTTTAAATGAAAAAATCTGAATTTTTATCTATTAGACCAATTATTTGGAATATATTGTCGTGTCGTGTCACATTAAATTTTTATTATTAAACAATATCATTTTTTATTATTTAAATTTATTAGTTTTGTGTCAAATTTATTAATTGTGTATAAAATTATCGAAACTCCTTGTCATTAAATATATCACCTTGTAAAATTGGGAATGAAAATAACAACAACATAAAATACAATCCAAACAAAATAAATTTGGATAGTTTAATCCAACTGTTCCCTGATCCCAATCCAAATGCCGAACAACTTGAGGAACTCCATGAAGGATGGATATGATGCTCTCTACCGATGACACCGAAGAGAGGGAGAAAACCTAAGAATGAACTAGGGAAGAAGAGGACCACCTCTAGAGAAAATAGGAAGAAGGGGAAAGAGGAAAAACCAGTAAAGACGAACCAGACGGGTCCTTAATGCCCTTAGTAGGTCAACATCCATTTTCGTCTAGGCCCTAGGGGATAAAGTCTTGTGCCCAACAGTGGGACAAGAAATCATATATTAAAGATTACCAAGAAGATGAGTTTGGGTCAGATGAAGAAGAGAAAGACAGGAGCTTCTCAGGCCAAAGGAGAAGAACTTGCTCAATGCAAAAAATACAGTGGAGACCAACATCATTCTGCTTCCTTTGAAGTCCATGACATTATCCTAACACAGTGGGATATGCCAAAGGGTAAAGGGAAAATTGTAAGCTCATGCTATGTTTTGTTGACTCATTAGAATGCAGTTGTGGAGAAGGAGAAATTGAGTGACGTCATGATAATGCAAGTATGGTCATTCCACGTTGGCTTGAAACTATTCTTTGATCTTGTTCGTGTTAAAACTAGAGAGGTGGTGCAATTCTCAGTGAACGTACAGTCAACAAACCAACGAGTTCCGACGTGACCACCCAAGAAGATAAGTCATAGAAGCTATTAGTGCTTAGTTCATCAAAGTATTTAGATTATGAGTGACTTCCAANAGATAAATAGATGATTGTAATAAAGAAAGTACGAACCATAGAGACTTTCGGGTGACTTGATATTTCATGGTGAATTAGCCTTCGTTACGTTGAAGGAGACGTTGATAACTGAACCGTCCTTATTATTTTGATCAGTAGTGAGGTATTTGATTTTTGCACGGATTCTTCTCTGTGAGGTTTAGGATGTAAGGTCGTTGCTTATGACTCTAGACAACTAAAGATACATGAGCAGAATTATCTCACCCATTATTTGAAGCTTGCAACGATGGTTTTTGCTATTAAGTTATGGAGATGTTACTTATATGGAGAACAGTTTTAGGTGTTTTCTAATCATAAGAGCTTCAAACATATATTGTCACGCCTCATCCCGGTCTCTCAAAGATGAGACGCAACTAAATTTTTGAAACAACTGTTTTAGGTCTCTCAAACATCTGAATTAATAAAACACTAAATAATTTCACAGGTGCAACGACACCACTTATCATCTTAGTCATTAAGCATGATGGTAATACCTGATTCATAACCTTTACCATATATAACACATGTACCATTTGTTTGTTTTTTTTTTCCCAGATTATATACATAAACAAAATCTCACACCCACGTAGCATACATCACAAAGTATGTTTGGTGAGTTCGTTTACAATTACACACCATTAACCTGCTATAACAATCTCTCTTTTAATATAATATACAACCCAACAAAGAATTATACAGTCACTCACCCTGTATCACTCAACTCATTAAAACTAAATACATAATTAACAGACATACAACCTGAGTAATATCACACTAACTTCGCTGAACCACTATGGACTGAACTCAATTCTACGAGACAATACTCAATTGACTGGACAGTGGACTGATATGCAATTCCCTCTGTAGTACCTGAAAAAGAGAACCTATAGGGGTGTGAGCAAAACCACGTGCTCAGTGAGTATACATACTGTATATGAAATGAAAATGATAATAATACAAAGAAGTAGGTAAATACTACGTAAATACATATATCAAACAACAACATCAATCCAATTCCAAAGAATTCACAAGCCACAACACATCCATACCATCTCTCATCAGGCAATTGATCCCACATGGATATGTGCCTCCCAAACCTCCCGAAAAAACCATAATTCTAGCACATCACTGCATGCCCAGTGATCAGGCATCGACGCTCTTGTCTTAGACAATGCGCCACATTTCACAATGCACAATAAACAGTACAAAATACCATTCAATCACATAAGCACATAACATATAATTATGGAGAAATGTTATTTAATTTTATCATTTACTATCATCTTNTGATAAATAGATGATTGTAATAAAGAAAGTCCGAACCATAGAGACTTTCGGGTGACTTGATATTTCAGGGTGAATTAGCCTTCGTTACGTTGAACGTCCTTATTATTCTGATCAGTAGTGAGGTATTTGATTTTTGCACGGATTCTTCTCTATGAGGTTTAGGATGTAAGGTCGTTGTTTATGACTCTAGACAACTAAAGATACATGAGCAGAATTATCTCACCCATTATTTGGAGCTTGCAACGATTGTTTTTGCTATTAAGTTATGGAGATGTTACTTATATGGAGAACAGTTTTAGGTGTTTTCTAATCATAAGAGTTTCAAACATATATTGTCACGCCTCATCCCGGTCTCTCAAAGATGAGACGTAACTAAATTTTTGAAACATCTGTTTTAGGTCTCTCAAACATCTGGATTAATAAAACACTAAATAATTTCACAGGTGCAACGACACCACTTATCATCTTAGTCATTAAGCATGATGGTAATACCTGACTCATAACCTGTACCATATATAACACATGTACCATTTGTTTGTTTTTTTTTTTTCCAAATTATATACATAAACAAAATCTCACACCCACGTAGCATACATCACAAAGTATGTTTGGTGAGTTCGTTTACAATTACACATCATTAACCTGCTATAACAATCTCTCTTTTAATATAATATACAACCCAACAAAGAATTATACAGTCACTCACCCTGTATCACTCAACTCATTAAAACTAAATACATAATTAACAGACATACAACCTGAGTAATATCACACTAACTTCGCTGAACCACTATGGACTGAACTCAATTCTACGAGACAATACTCAATTGACTGGACAGTGGACTGATATGCAATTCCCTCTGTAGTACCTGAAAAAGAGAACCTATAGGGGTGTGAGCAAAACCACGTGCTCAGTGAGTATACATACTGTATATGAAATGAAAATGATAATAATACAAAGAAGTAGGTAAATACTACGTAAATACATATATCAAACAACAACATCAATCCAATTCCAAAGAATTCACAAGCCACAACACATCCATACCATCTCTCATCAGGCAATTGATCCCACATGGATATGTGCCTCCCAAACCTCCCGAAAAAACCATAATTCTAGCACATCACTGCATGCCCAGTGATCAGGCATCGACGCTCTTGTCTTAGACAATGCGCCACATTTCACAATGCACAATAAACAGTACAAAATATCATTCAATCACATAAACACATAACATATAATTATGGAGAAATGTTATTTAATTTTATCATTTACTATCATCTTATAATAGTATTTTCAAAACACAGAAAGATATATACCTACCTCAAGTTTACAGATCTATGGGCATNTTTCAAACATATATTGTCACGCCTCATCCCGGTCTCTCAAAGATGAGACGTAACTAAATTTTTGAAACATCTGTTTTAGGTCTCTCAAACATCTGGATTAATAAAACACTAAATAATTTCACAGGTGCAACGACACCACTTATCATCTTAGTCATTAAGCATGATGGTAATACCTGACTCATAACCTGTACCATATATAACACATGTACCATTTGTTTGTTTTTTTTTTTTCCAAATTATATACATAAACAAAATCTCACACCCACGTAGCATACATCACAAAGTATGTTTGGTGAGTTCGTTTACAATTACACATCATTAACCTGCTATAACAATCTCTCTTTTAATATAATATACAACCCAACAAAGAATTATACAGTCACTCACCCTGTATCACTCAACTCATTAAAACTAAATACATAATTAACAGACATACAACCTGAGTAATATCACACTAACTTCGCTGAACCACTATGGACTGAACTCAATTCTACGAGACAATACTCAATTGACTGGACAGTGGACTGATATGCAATTCCCTCTGTAGTACCTGAAAAAGAGAACCTATAGGGGTGTGAGCAAAACCACGTGCTCAGTGAGTATACATACTGTATATGAAATGAAAATGATAATAATACAAAGAAGTAGGTAAATACTACGTAAATACATATATCAAACAACAACATCAATCCAATTCCAAAGAATTCACAAGCCACAACACATCCATACCATCTCTCATCAGGCAATTGATCCCACATGGATATGTGCCTCCCAAACCTCCCGAAAAAACCATAATTCTAGCACATCACTGCATGCCCAGTGATCAGGCATCGACGCTCTTGTCTTAGACAATGCGCCACATTTCACAATGCACAATAAACAGTACAAAATACCATTCAATCACATAAGCACATAACATATAATTATGGAGAAATGTTATTTAATTTTATCATTTACTATCATCTTATAATAGTATTTTCAAAACACAGAAAGATATATACCTACCTCAAGTTTACAGATCTATGGGCATTCGGACTCACCGATGGATCCTTTCGGTGTTACAAACTCTGTCTCAACATCGACTGCCCTAACTGTTCCACCAAAATTAAAATATCACTATGTTTATCAAATTTAATAGTTAANGTTCGGACTCACCGATGGATCCTTTCAGTGTTACAAACTCTGTCTCAACATCGACTACCCTAACTGTTCCACCAAAATTAAAATATCACTATGTTTATCAAATTTAATAGTTAATCAAGCACTAATGCATGCAAGATGATTCAACCCAAAATGCTCCGATAATTTCGGTTACCACACTGTCCACTCACACATTGGCACATTAGATTTAGGAATCACATTTCTCTCCAAATATATAAAATCACTCACATTAATCACAATAAGGATTAAGTAGGTCAAACACATTGAACGGGAGGCCATTTTCACACATTTCGACCCCGAATCCAAAAAATCGTACTTCCGATATTTCCGCACTGGATATTATATTCATTTGCATTCGAAATTTATATTATNGATCACATTTCTCTCCAAATATATAAAATCACTCACATTAATCACAATAAGGATTAAGTAGGTCAAACACATTGAACGGGGGCCCATTTTCACACATTTCGACCCCGAATCCAAAAAATCGTACTTCCGATATTTCCGCACTGGATATTATATTCATTTGCATTCGAAATTTATATTATCACGTCAAGCATCAATTAAGAATGCAGCATGCAAAATTTCGGGTCAATTGGATCAAAATTTACACATGTGATAAAAACATTTATAAATCAGAGTTTCAGCATTACCGGCACCCATTTTCAACCTCTATCGCACATTTCTTTTAAAACAGCCACACTTAAACTCACAAGCACATTTAATCATGCAAAACAACCCCTTAATTGAACCCTTAAACCCTCCATTTCACTCTCATAAATTCCGGTTTCAATCTAGCCCACTAAAAGCATTCCGAACATATCAAATGTTCATTTTTCACACTTTTCCCGCACCCAATTGAACACCCCCTTGAAATCCTTTCCTAACAGCCCTTTACTTACACTTA